ATATATATATATATATTATTGATCAGTGAAGTTCACTGTACAAGCCATATGGTGTGAATCAGTTAGTTTGTTAGAGAATGTCCAGTTGTACACAATTAGTTAGTTAGTTGAATGTGTATAAGTTGAACTATAAATAGTCAGCTACATGAATGTAATAGTTAGCTGAGCCAATTCAATGTAACAGTGAATTTTGTGTTCTCTCAACCTCTCTTCTCTTCTTATCATCTATTTCTTCTGCAAGTTAGCAATGTATTAATCTCCATTAATGGAGCTTACGTGGTATCAGAGCCCAAGATCGTAGGGTTATTCCGCACTCAAATTACGTCACTAGGTGCTCAGATCTCACATGTGTTTAGGTGAATCGCAAGGTAGTATCAAAGATAGATTGAAGTATCTTTTCTCTTCATTCAAATGACAATTCCAGCTGATACAACTAATAGTGCTCCATCCATGGTTGTTTTTCCAACAATTGATCACAATCACCCACTTTTTCTACAACATACAGACACTCTAGGTAGCTCACTCATCTCTCTCCAATTAATTGGATCTGAGAACTATGCGCTATGGAGTAGATCCTTTAGGATTGGACTTGTAGGTCGCAGCAAGTTAGTGTTTGTAGATGGTTGTTTCCCAAAATCTATGTTCAAACCAGTGTTGTATGATCAATGGGAGAAATGCAACGTTGTGGTGTTATCCTGGATTATAAATGCAGTTCAACCTGGACTGCTGAGCTCTGTTGTGTATGCTTCTGATGCTCGCAAAGTGTGGTTGGATCTGAGAGAGGTTCGACACTGTGAATGGATCTAGAATCTTTCATCTCCACAGGGAAATTCACACTCTCTCACAAGGAACAATGTTAGTTGCTAACTAGTACTCGAAACTAAGAGATCTCTGGGATGAGTATGATGCACTCATGCCCTGTCCTTCATGTCCCTGTCCAGAATCAAGGAAATTTGGAGAACATTGTGAGTACCAAAGGTTATTACAGTTCTTAATGGGTTTGAATGAGTCTTATTATCCTCCCCGAAGCCAAATCCTCATGATGAATCCAATTCCTACACTAAATAAAGCCTATGCACTTCTTATGGATCAAGAGAGTCTGAGGAATTTGGTCTCTTCTACTTCAACTAGTTTAGGAGTTGGTGCAATTGATGGCACAACTTTGTACAGTCATAGAGGTCCTACGTACACTCATGGATTTGGATCTTTCAAGGTGAGTTCGTCAATGATAAGTGGAGGTTCTAATGGTGGTGCTAGCACTTCTGGAAGTTACAAGGGAAGGAGGACATTGGTGCAATGTGATCATAGTGGCTGCAAGGGTCATTCCTAAGATCAATGTTATAAGATAGTTGGATATCCAGCTGATTTTAAGAGTAAAAGGAAAGGTCAATCCTCAGGGAGCTTTGCCAATCAAGTTGAACTATCCTAAAGCCTTGAACTAGGAGTTCAGTCAACTACAATTCAGCATCCTGGAGCTCTCTTTACTCAGGATCAGTATCAACAGATCCTGCAACTGTTATCCAGGTCTGGTGGTGAAACTGCAGCTGCTCCTCCTGCTAGAGTGGCTTCTGTGGATGCAGGTATTCCTCTTTCAACTTTTTTATGTGCATGTGATGCTGGTGAATGGATAGTAGACAATGGAGCTACTCATCACATCACCTCCCAACTTAACACACTAGCTACAAGTACAGAAGCACTTGCTAACTTAGACAGTAGAGTACACTTGCCAAATGGAAATACAGTTTCAGTGTCTCATATTGGTACAACTAGTATATGTACTAATTATACTATCTCCAATGTTCTATTCTTACTTGAATTTAAAGTTAATTTATTGTCAGTGTCTAAACTCACTAAGGAACTATTTTTTTTAAAAATAATTTAAATTTGATCATTGATGATGGCAAAAAATACAGCTTTGAGTTTGGCATCCCAAACTTTTACATGATCAAAGTGTAGAGGTACTATAGACAAGCTCTACTAATACGTAACACCAAAAAACGTTCCAAGTTATTGTGGAGTTTAACTGGACTTGATATGATGTGCTTAAGCTATGAAGGCTCGTAGACCAGATAAGAAGGCTTTACTGGTTTCATTCAAAAATATGGGAACTCCCACCTATCCATATTGATAAGACCCTTAACCTACTTAGGGAGAGAGGATAAGGAGTTGAAGACATGGATTTCCTCTGCGCCATGGCTAAGAGATGCAAGTTTGTCAGCAGGTTTCTTTGCTTCTCTAAAGCAATGACTTGTGTGATATCCATGATCTTCAACTATTTTCATAATTTCTTGAATCATATCTTTGATTCTCCAAGGGGGTTTCCATTCTTTATTGGAGCAATTTACCAGGAGCAAAGAATCAGTTTACCCCCAGACATTTGTGAGACCTTTATCCGCACACCATTTAAGGCCATACAGTAAGGCTGCTGCTTCAGCCATGTTGCTTATGCCAGGCCCTAGATTGATCGAGTAGGCAAAGATAGTATGACCAAAGGAGTCTCGAATCAGTCCTCCTCCTCCGCAAGAACCTTGAAGGAAGCTACCATCACTATTGAGTTTAAAAGTCCTAGCATGAGGTTTAATCCATTTAACAGGATTGCTGATATGTTAGTGAATATTGGCATAAAAAATGTTGGAAAGACTTCGCCACGTCTCCCCTATATTTGCTTCTCCAAACTTCCTCCTCGTGATCTGCAAAAAAGTGAATAAGATATTTGCTTCTCCGAACTTCCTCCTCATGATCTGCAAAAGAGTGATCAAACTTGTTAGCACATCTCATCTTCCAAATTTCCCAACAAATTATAGGGGGGAGGGCTTGGATAATGAAGGATGCTATGGGGTTGTTGGTATGAGTGTTCCACCAGTTAAAGTAAAAGAAGTTTTAGAGAATTCTGGATCAGTCTCACACCCAAAGAATTCACAATACTTTGCCAAATATTTTTTGCAAGGTTCCCTTTGCAGAAAAGATGATCGGCAGTTTCCAGTGAGTTGTTATCAGGGATATTCACACAACAGTAGCATCCAGGCTCAATGTTGATTCCTAGTTTTGCCACTTGATCATCCGTTGAGAGTTTATTATAAACAACTCTCCAAGTAAGGAAACACATCTTAAAGGGGATGGCACAATTCCAAATCTTACTAGTAGCAATGTTGGAAGATCTTTTATTTCTTATAATATTCCAAGCTGAGTGAAGAGTGAAAACGACATTATTAGACTCCCTCCAAATTGTTGTATCATCCACATTGTTGTCTAGAGAAACTCCCAAGCTCCTAATCTTATTTTTTACATCTTCAGAAAGATTTCCCTGAATAGAGATCCAATTCCAGACACTATTGTTATAAATTGTGTTAAGTTTGATCAAAATATTTCCTTCAATATCGGGGTGAAGTAAGTAAAGAGGTCCTAAGCTTAACCAATTGTCAAACCAAAAATCTATCTCTCATCTACCAATTTTCCAGGAAATGTGATTCTTCGTATCTGATCTGGCTTCACACATAGCTTTCCAACCTTGTGAGTTACCCGAGATCCATTTAGCTTTCACGGGGTGGTGGGTATGCAAGTATTTGGATTTCATGTAATCTCCCCAAAGAGATGTGGTGGTTCTTAAGTTCCACCACTATTTTGACTTAAAGGCTCGACAGATGTCCGAGATTTTCCTGAAGTTAGCTCCACCTTCATTGTAAGGGTAGCTCAAGGTATCCCAAGCAATCCAATGATGTTTACCACCAGCTTCATTTTCGGACCAAAAAAACCTAGCAATTATTTTCTCAATAAGCTCAAGTGTGCCCTTTGGAGGGTTAATAGCGCTCAGGATATGAGTAGGGATGGCGATGAGAACATGTCTAATAAGAGTAGTTCTTCCACCGGTGGAAAGAAACTTGGTATGCCATCCTCTAACTTTGCTAGTCACTTTATTGACAATGTCAGAGTAATATGCTAGTTTCTTTTTACCAGTGATCAGAGGGCATCCCAGGTATCTGATGGGGAATTTTGAAATCTCATGCCAGTGTATCTTTTCGTTATGTTAATGACACAGAGGCTGACTTTGGATTTTAGGGAGAAGCTGCTTTTGTTCTTGTTGATGAGCTGCCCCGAAATCTTCTCATACGTGCTAAGAGTGTCAATAATCAGTTGGATAGAGTTTTTACTACCATTACAAAAGATGATAGTGTCATCAGCAAAGGTTATATGATTAACTCTAGGACAGTTATTATGAGCATAGAAACCTTTGTAATTAGGAAGGTTATACAAGTTATTAAGCATCTGAGAAAGTTTAGCACTCAGAATGAATAGGGAAAGAGACAAGGGGTCACCTTGTCTTAAGCCCCTCGAAGAGTGGAAAAAGCCATGTCTACAACCATTTATAACCACAGAATACCAATTATTAGATAGGAAGTTATAGATGATGTCCACCCAATTTTCTGAGAAACCTAATTTCCTGAGAGCTAAGCAAAGGAAAGTCCAAGAAACTCTGTCATAGGCTTTCTTCATATAAATTTTCATAACTACATTGCCCCCTATGTTAGGCTTACCAATATCACTAATGATCTCTTGAGCCAAAAGAATATTTTCAGTGATAGATCTGCCTTTAACAAAACCACTTTGATTTTTGGAGATGATTCTAGGGAGAAGTCAGCCTGTTGTTAAGGATCCTAGACATAATTTTATGAGAAACATTACATAAGCTTATAGGCCTCAAATCTGAGAAGGATTGAGGGTGATCAACCTTGGGAATAAGGACTAAATAAGTGTGAGTGTAAAATTTAGGAAGGATGTCACCTGAAAAGAAAGCAGAGACGGCTCTATGGATATCTGCAGCGATGATATTCCAAGTGCTTTGGTAGAAGTGTCCGCTTAGGCCATCTGGTCCTGGGGAACTGTCAGGGTCTATAGAGAAGACATACTCTTTCAATTCCATCATGGTAGGAGGTGAAATGATTATGTCATTATCCTCCTCTGTAATGCACCTGCGAAGAAGGTTAATATGACCAAAATTTGTATTAGTTAAATCGTGTGTGAAAAGATTTTGGTAGTCTCACATCCCCTTCAGCAATGTTATCATTTCCTTCTAGCAAATTATCATGATCATCCATAATTTTCCTACTAGTGAGCTTTTTCCTCCTGTCTTTTATGATATTGTGGAAGTAAGCAGTGTTGGAGTCCCCTTCCTCAAGCCATTTGATCCTCGCCTTCTGCCTGAGAATAGAGTTTTGAAGTCTGAGGAACTTAGTGAAAATAGCTCTGAGTCTAGATAGTTCTTCCCTATTCTCTTCAGAGTTATTAGTCACACTATTCTCTTCCAAAATTCTCATTTGAGCTTTAAGTTTTCTAGGCTCTTCAGAGATATCACCAAAAGTTTGTCTCGACCAAGAGCTAAGAGTTTTACAAGTCCTCTTGATATTTTGATGAAGGACAAACAAAGGGTTACCAAAGACTTCTTTGTTCCAAGAATGTTTAACAGTTTCTAGAAACTCAGTGTGTTCTGTCCATATGTTGAGAAACTTGAAGTATTTAATAATATGGGTATTGTCAAAGTTCATCTTTACCAGGAGGGGAGAATGGTCTGAACAAGTTCTAGATAGATGAGTGACACTAGTAGCATTGAACACACCAAACCATTGAGAGTTATGAACTAATCTATCTAATTTCTTCCAAATGGTAGCAGGTGGGTCTCTATTATCGCACCAAGTATATTTGGAACCAGAAAAACCAGTATCTTGAAGACCACAATCATTAAGGTACTGAATAAAATCCAAGCTCTCTTCTATTCTATGAGGCCTCCCTCCAAGTTTTTCCTCACTAGAAACCACAACATTGAAGTCTCATATAGCACCACATGGCTCTTGAATAGTATCTGATATAACTCTTAGTTCTGCCCACAAGTCTTTCCTTAGTTGTACTGTGCATTTAGCATAGATTACAGAGAGAAAGAAAACTTGATCATCATTATGAGCTACTCTGAGAAGGACATGTTACTCTTTATCATGGATAATCTCGATATTGACATCATTAGACCAAAGAATCCAAATTTTATTGGAACAATTTCTGAAGGCCTGGTGAAATCCCAATCTTCTTTTGAACTTATGCAATTGCCTACCATTTACCATAGGTTCTTGAAGGCAAAATAGATGAATATTGAATTGTTGTTTGAAAAGAGTGAGTCTTTCTAAGGATCCATTAGACCCAATCCCCCTAATATTCCATGAGATAAAATTAATCATTGGAAACATCAGGGGGAGGGGTTCGTTGAGTAGTGGGTTGAGTTGGGGTTATCACGAGGTTGTCGCTTAAGCTCCCACCAGATTGAAGTTGTTCCTTGGACTTAAATTGATATCCTCCTTGATACATTCCATAAAAGTTTCAGAGTCTCCACATCTAATGGTATTCGAGTGGTTCTCGGCTTCAAATTGATAGTTACTGTACTCAACTAAGTTATAATCAGGAGGATTAGTTCAAGGTCCACTATGCCTCCATCAACTTTTCCTTGTGAGCCTGCTTGACTTGAGATACTGGGATCAATTCCTTGAATTCCTATCTTTTTCAGTCTTTCAGCTGAATTTCTCAGAATTTTCTCAATATTTATTTCCAGCATCTCACTATTGCCACTTACCTTACTGTAGAAAATTTCTCCATTGCTTGATACTTGTTGCAATTCCCCTTCTAGTTTGGTACTGGTAGGTATAGTAATTTTGTTTCCAAATTTCCTCTTGCCTCTGGTAAGGGATAAAACCTCTTCCTTGTTGATATTTACCATATTCTCAATTTCACTTTGGATTTGTGCTTCAACTTGTTTTGATTTGGATTCAAGGAAATGTCTTGAGCTTCTCACGTTTAGCTTTCCTTGTTGGTGGTTGTGTTTCTTTTTTTTTCTTTCTACCTAAGCCTTTTCCCATCTGGACATTCCGATAGGGACCTTGGACTGGCCTTCGTGAATCTTTTGGGAGTGAGTAGCTTTATTTCCTTGAGCAATTTCCATATCTTCACATTCTTCGTTAACATGTAATTGATTAAATCTGTTGCTATGATTGTCATTCATCGTGTTGCTAGGGAGTTTCCTTTCTCTTATTTTGATACCTTTATTGTTGCTTCCAGAGTTATTCTTTCTTCTTTAAACCTGGTTCCAACCATCGTGAAAGCTCTTTGAAGAACTAGCTACAACTTTATAATCCTCCGGATTCCCTAAAATCCCATTGTTAGAGGTTGTTTGTTGGTAGCTAGTTTTCTTATGAGTATTTGTGAGATTATTGCTGCCTGTCATATTTTTGTTGTGTTGAGAGTGCTACATGTTCTTTCTCTGCCTCCCTGCATCCTTAGATACATCTTTAGATTGTTATGTTGAGTTTTCTTGATGATGGTTTGGGTAAGGATGGGAGGTTGTGGGGATTTTTTTGGGTCTGGTGGGTCTAGTGGAATTGTGTGAGGGGGAGCGCAGAAGCCAGTGCTAGAGAGGCTCATGATGCCTCAAGCGCGAGATGGTGGCAGAATGAGGTGAGATATAGCCATTGACGGCCAAAGTTAGCCCAATTCACTAAGGAACTTAACTGCATGGTAGGCTTCTTTCCTAACTTCTGTATCCTCCAGGATCTCTCCATTGGTCAGGTGAAAGGGATTGGTAAGGAGGATCATGGACTCTACATACTACAAAGAGGATCACATCAAGGACCACATCAAGCTCCAAAGAAACTAATCAATAATAGTAGTAGAAGTTTTGCTATTGATGAGTCTATGTCCAATTCTGTGTCTAAGTCTGAAATTGTTGATGTATGGCACAAGAGGTTAGGTCATGCACCTATTGATGTAATAAAAAGAAATGAGTCTCTTAGCTTGTTACAAAATAAGGATCACACTCATTGTACAATGTGTCCTTTAGCTAAGCACACAAAACTTCCCTTTCATGTAAGCACTAAGATGTCCAAATTTGCCTTTGAATTGCTACATTGTGATATCTAGGACCATATAGAGTACCCACTCATAATGGAAAAAGATTTTTTGTGACTATTGTAGATGATTACAGCAGGTACACTTGGGTTTTCTTGATTGCATCTAAGGCTGACATTGTTGTTGTTCTCAAACAATTTCTCACACAAGTTGAAAATGTGTTCTCTACTAAAGTTAAGGTCCTAAGAACTAATAATGGCTTTTAGTTTTTTAGTCATGAGTTTAAAACATTAGTGTCTGAACTTGGTATTGTTCATCAAACCACTTGTGTGTACACCCCAAAGGAAAATAGGGTGGCTGAGAGAAAACATAGGACCATACTGAATGTTGCCAGGGATATCAAGTTCCAAACTTGTATTCCACTTAAGTTTTGGGGTGAGTGTGTGTCTACAACTGTTTATATTCTGAATAGGCTTCTTTCCAAAGTCCTTGGTTTCAAGTCCTCATTTGAAAAACTATACCTCCATCCTCCTTCCTTATCTCATAACAAAGTATTTGGGTGTCTGTGTTATGCTGCCTGTCCAAAAGTCTTGGATAAGTTTTCCTCTAAAGCAATTCATGTTGTCATGGGGTATTCTTTAACTCAAAAGGGTTATATTTTATATGATATTCATGCTCACTCCTTCTTTATGAGCAGACATGTAGTATTTCATGAACATCTATATTCATTTAAAGAACTCCAAGCATCTTCTAATCCTATATTTCCAGTCCTAGAAGCAGTACTAATAGATACTGACCCTTTGGGTGAAGCCTATGTCACGTTAACCTCCGCCACAACTGAGGTTTTTGAGATAAGCTCAGTTGTGCCATCTCCACTCATTCATACAAGGCCTACTCCAGATGTGTCCACTGCAATTGAACCAGCCAAAAGATCAACTAGCCAGAGTAAACCCCTTATATGGCTGCAGGACTTTGTCACTACATCCAAAGGCAATGCATATGCCTACCCTATTACTAATCAGCTCTCTTACTCTCATTTGTCACAAGCTTACAACTAGGTTTTGAAGGCCTACTCAGCTGTCTATGAGCCTGCATCATTTCATGAAACTGCTTTTAACCCTGCATGGGTAAAATGTATGGCACTGGAAATAGCAGCATTAGAAAGTAATAAGACATAGAGCATAGTTTATCTCCCACTTGGAAAAAAACCTATTGGTTGTAGATGGATTTATAAAATCAAGTATCCCTCCTCAGGGGCAATGGAAAGATACAAAGCAAGGTTGGTTGCAAAGGGATTCAGTCAGAAAGAAGGCATTGATTTTGGTGAAACTTTAGTCCTGTGGCTAAGATGGTTACAGGTCAGTGGTGGCTCTTGCGGCCTCTAGGGGTTAGTACATCTATCAGATGGATGTCCACAATGCTTTCCTCAATGGTGATCTACTAGAGGAGGTGTACATGACTATTCCTAGTGGTTTTTCTAGACAGGGGGAGACTCACAAGGTCTGCAAACTCCACAAGTCTCTATATGAACTCAAGCAGGCACCAAGGCAATGGAACATGAAGCTAACAGAAGCATTAGTAGATATGGGGTTCAAACAGAGTCACTATGATTACTCTTTGTTCGCGAGGTTGGTTGGCTGTGACACAGTGATAGTACTAGTGTTTGTGGATGATCTTCTAGTTACTGGAAGCAATAAGAAGCTCTTGTGTAACACCAGACAAGAGATCCAAAAGAAATTCATGATGAAGCACCTAGGTGAACTAAAGTTCTTTTTGGGAATTGAGTTTTCTAGGTCCAACAAAGGCATACTCATGTCTCAAAGAAAGTATGCATTATAGTTAATATCTGAGTCTGGGCTAGGGGGAGCAAAGCCAGCTTACACACCACTTGAGGTGAATCAGAAACTCACTTCTGTGCAGTATGATGAACACATTAATAATGGAATTCCTGAAGGTGATACCATTCTCACAGACATTACAAAGTACCAAAGACTGGTAGGGAAGATTTTTTACCTTAACTAGACCTGATGTTGCATTCTCTGTACAAGTGTTAAGTCAGTTCATGCATTGCCCTAAAAAGTCACACATGGAGGCAGCTTTAAGAGTGGTGAGATACATTAAAGAGGCACTTGGTTTAGGCTTGTTAATGCCAGCAGAAGACACCAGTAAACTAACAGGCTACTGTGATTCTGACTGGGGAGCATGTGTGGAAACTAGAAGGTCAGTTACAGGTTATGCAATAAAGTTTGGAGAAGGCCTTGTCTCTTGGAAGTCAAAGAAGCAAGAGACTGTGTCAAGGAGTTCAGCAAAACCAGAGTTCAGAAGTATGGCTGCATGTGCAGCTGAAATAACCTGGTTGGTAGGACTTTACAAAGAGTTAGGTGTCAAGATAAACCTACCTGTGAGAATGATATGTGATAGTAAGGCAGCTATTCAAATTTCTGCCAATCCTATCTTCCTTGAAAGAACAAAACATTTTGACATTGATTGTCACTTTGTTAGAGAAAGAATATGTCAAGGGATGTTGAAAACTGAGCATATACATACTAAAGACCAGCTTGCAGATGTGCTCACTAAAGGTCTAGGAAAGGTACAACACAATATGTTAGTGAGTCATCTTGGAATGAAGAATGTGTTTCAACCATAAGCTTGAGGGGGAGTGTTGATCAGTGAAGTTCACTGTACAAGCCATATGGTGTGAATCAGTTAGTTTGTTAGAGAATGTCCAGCTGTACACAGTTAGTTGGTTAATTGAATGTGTATAAGCTGAACTATAAATAGTCGGCTACATGAATGTAATAGTTAGCTGAGCCAATTCAATGTAACAGTGAATTTTGTGTTCTCTCAAAATATTTTCTCCTCTCTTCTCTTCTTCTCATCTATTTCTTCTGCAAGTTAGCAATGTATTAATCTCCATTAATGGAGCTTACATATATATATATATATATTCGACCAAATAAAAATAACTTGTCATTATGATGAATATCCAAAATTCAAAAAGAAATAATATTAATAGAGATAATAATATTTTTGCTCCCTCGATTATTGGTAAACTTTGATTTTACTTCTTGTGATATTCAATAAAGCATACTTTATCGTTAATCAATTAAACAAGTTGATATTTAATAAATTTTGATTTTAGTTATTGCATTGTATTGTTAATTCGTTTTTATGTAACAAGGAAAACTGTCAATTCATTTGTTGCAATCGTATTGCTATCTTATTTTTTCTGCTCATCTTGTCCTTACTTATTATTTAATAATTCTATTTTATCGTTCACTATACTAGAATCTTGGAAAAGAAGAGAAAACAATATATTTTGCTGAAGTGATTTTCTTTATTCACAATCTGATATATATATATACAGCTTGATACAAATCAATCTAACCTAGCTTTAGGTAAGAAATCGTGATCTCCAATTAATGGGATTTGATCTACTAATATGGAAACTAAATATACAAGAATATATGTACAAGATATGTATTTCTCAACATAGTGTGAGGTTAATATTTTATTGTTATTATTATCTTAAACTCTATTATCACAAAGCTAATATCTATATTTTATCATAGGAACATATGAAGGACTTATCAACTTTACTTGCAACTTTTTTCGAACTATGTGACAGTCTATTTCAATATGTTTTGTTCGCTCATGAAAGACTAGATTCGCTGCAATATGTAAGGCAACTTGATTGTCACAAAATAGTTTTGCAGGGGTTACATTTGAGACCCTTAAGTCTTGAAGTATATAGCTTAACCATGTAAGTTCTAAACAAGTGTTCAACATAGCTCGATACTCTGTCTCTGCTGATGATCTAGAAACAACTAATTGCTTCTTTGATTTCCATGAGATAAGTGAATTTCCAAGAAAAATCATGATGTTTGCGTAATCAATGACACAACTTCCGATGCAAATGCCTACGATCGTGCAATAGTATAATAACCCAACCAAGGGTTGGGGTCGAGTCCGAAGGGAGTGGTTTCGAGAATTAATAGAAAAATAAAATTCAGTTCTAACTAGTCGTAGCTAAAGACATTAACGATTAAAAATAGTGTAAGTTAAAAGGGGACACAAAAGTGTCAAATATTTATTTGGAAGGCTTTGTCACAAGTATAGCAAAAACAGTAGAAATAACAAAGAAATCTATGAATGAGAGGGGATTTTTGGAATGTGACCGAAATACGGGTTAATCTAAATTATTGGGTACATGATTTCGATAGAAAATTTGTAGAGTAATAGTGACTAGGCTAAGCTATATGTGGGAATAAATTCTCTCTCGAGCAACTTACCCCATTTCAAATGGGTTCCTCTCGGACACCCACTTGCCGCATGAAGACCAGCCTACGCCTTACTCCATTCACTCTCTCGAGCTGAGTGTTAGGATATGGGACTAGGGCTCACCCTCTCGGGCTGAACCTCATGTCGACCCACTCCTTAGGCCATCAGTCTAGCGGTCTTGGTTTCGC